AGACAAAAGCTAGCGCGCCGCCGGGAGGGATGCGGAGGGTCCCGCGGTCCCCGGGCCCCGCAGAGCCGCCGCCGGGAGCTGGGCAGGCGGGCGAGCGCCGAGTTACGCCTTGTGCAGCCGCCTCAACTTGCCTTTGTTGTTCCCTGGTATTGGCAGAGGCGCACTGACGAGGAGTGGGATCTTGCGCCTTAGCCTGGTTGGGTACAATGGAGCTAATCGAATTTTGCTTTCCATTCTCCGAACCCCTGGGTTGGTATGGGGTTTTGCAGAGTCTTAACTTACTATAGAATGTTTAAAAATAGTTGTTTTTTTCTAAAATTAAAACAAAAAATAGGGGGAGCCTTAAAAGCATGTTTTGTTGCATGTGGGTGAGTTCCTCTGTGTTGGGTTCGTTCATTAAACGCTGACCATTCGCAGAGCCCGTGAGCTCTTTATACACAATACTTTAATTTGTAGATGTGGCAATGAGAGCTTCAGATTCTCTAGTCCTTTGGGAGGCAGTGGTGCAGAAGCGTCAGAGGGAGAAACAGTTGCCTGCTGCCATGTGCTTGCACCGTCTGCCGGTGCCACAGTCTGGTATAAGTTCTGGCTTTAAAAGTTGTTTCTATTACTATCACTGTTGTTATTTGTGACATACATTGAGCACTTGGTATGAGGAATCCTGGACAGTGGGCCCCTTTTGCTCATCAAGGGAGTGGGAGAGTAGTAATTGATGCACACAGACCATATAAATAAAAATAACACCATGATGTCCCAGAGTTTCTCCATATTATTTATCTTCTCCATTTGCTAGGAAAGATTTAAATTTTGGTGAGCAGTTTGCTTATTTATCTTTGTAAACTTGTGTAATTACCTTTTTTTTTTAGCAATTGTTATTCAAATCTTCCTTTCTGTAATTCATAGTTTATCAGCTAACATGTAGCATTGTTTTAGATTTTTAAAGTTTTAATCTTTGTTGAGGAGTTTTGAACCATAGTTTTATATTCTCTCAACTAAGTCAGAAATCCTTTGAATAGACTGTTGGTGGTGAAGGTGTCAAATACTGTATCTTCATGTTATAATCTAAGTGGTAAATAAAGAAAAAGCCTTTGCTAAACTTACATTTTAGTGTTAGAACTGACAACCCAGGTCTCCTAGTTTGTCAGGATTTTGGCTACGGAGTCAACTGTGAAAGAACAAAAATCTGAAACTTGGTGTGTTGTGCTTCAGTAACTACTGTGATAGAATCTCTTCAGTGTAGTTCAGATGATGGGAACTTGCTTTTTATAGAGCAAGATTTCAGATCCTTAAAATAGTTCGACAGGGATGCTGAGAAATGATTGGCTAGAAGAACATTAAGTTTATTGTTCACATGTGTTATATTTTGTTCACTGGTTTTGGATTTAGATATTTTGCTTCAGTCTTTTGTTAATTCTATTTTCTTTCTGTTTTAAAAAAATATGTTTTTATTGATTTCAGAGAGAGGAAGAGAGAGGGAGAGAGATAAAAACATCAGTGATGAGAGAGAATCATTGATCGGTTGCCTCCTGCATGTCCCCTACTGGGGATGGAGCTGGAAACCCGGGCATGTGCCCTGACCAGGAATAGAATGGCGTCCTCTGGTTCATGGGTCGATGCTCAACCACTGAACCACACTGGCCCGGCTGTTAATTCCATTTTCTTAAGTGACTCAGTCTCATGAGTGAGATAGTTTATTATATCTGAGACTTAAATTTGTTTTTTGAGACTCCATATAGTCTTAACAGTCTTCTACTTAAAGTCATAGTTTTTAGATAATACATTTTATTTTGTGGTACTGTTAGTAAATATTATAACCGTTGAAGGGATTATAAATATTAGACTTAGAACTGAGTTATTAAAACTGTCAGTTTATTTTAATAACTTCAAGTCTGGTTGTCATATTGAATAGTGGAAAGAGGAGACAGTAGTGGAAAGTAACAGATGTTTAAAAACAGTCATCTAAAAGATTTCCTAGAAAACATGAGAAGGATCTATTCTTTAAAAAAAAAAACAACAAAAAAACTAAGTGAAGAAAAAACCATTGATGAAATAGTTTTTGGTTTGTAAAATGTAATTTAAGAAATTAATTTAACTTTTTTTACCCAGTGCAATCAGGGTAACATCCATAAGATGTATGTGTCACTAAATGATCTCTAAAGGCCGTATCCTTCACTCCAGAATTTACTGATTATTTCACCACCCCAGGGTTTCTCTTCTCCTTTATGCTCAGATCGTTACTGCCATAGTGAATGCTTTACCTCCCCAGATTCTATGGCAGTACTTAGATTCTGTGGCAGTCCCAGTCTACATTTCCTCGTGGATTTCCTAAAGACCTAGCTCAAATGGCAACATTTATTCCTCTACATTTTGGTTGTCTTTCTTCCTTTTTTTGCCTGGAAGTTGCCGCTCCTTGCTGTTTCTTATGGTATGTATTTATGCCCCCCTTCTTGGAAGATCACTCCCATGCATTTACTCTTGTTTGGAACCTTGAGGGCCCTCCGAGTTTGTAGAACACTTTGTGCTATCCTCTTTTGCCTACTTACTCTTGGGGCTCGTGTAACTAGTCACTGTATAATGTGTGAAAGAATAAATCAGTAACTTAGAATAACAGAACTTGAGCCTTGGAAAAGTTCTTAGAGGTCCCGGTAGTCCAATATCCTACCTTCTGTCTACTATAGTCTGATCATCAGCTCAAACTACAGACATACTTCAGTTACTGGACAGGTCTTGGTTGCTAGAAAGGTATTTAGACTGTACCACAGTCTCCCCGTCTTGTTGATTTTAGTCATACCCCCTGAAGCAAAATAAGTTAATAAGTCTGTTTCTTCTCCACATAATAGCTTTTTCATTTCCTAGATGGTCATTAGACCTTCTCTAGATTTTTTTTTTTTAAATACCTTTATTGATTTCAGAGAGAGGAAGGTAGAGGGAGAGAGATAGAAACATCAGTGATGAGTCACTGATCGATCAGCTGCCTCCTGCATGCCCCCTACTGGGGATCTAACCCGAGACCCCAGCATGTGCCCTGACTGGGAATCAGACCCTGATCTCCTGGGTCATAGGTCGATGCTTAACTGCTGAGCCACGATGGCCTGGCAGGCCTTCACTAGATTTATTGATTAATTCATTTGTTAAACCCTTTCTTTAGTTAGGCACCAGGTACATGAGGGTACAGTTGAAGACATCCATGGCCCTCACACTTCAGAACTCACAGTCTAGGGCAGACACAAAATGTTAGGAATTGATGCCAGTTGTGCTGGAAGTATGTAAATCCTTCCTGGTTTAGTATGATTTCAGCATGCTTTCTTTAGGCAGTTCTGTCAGTGTCCTTTAAATGCAATATTTGAAATAAAACAATTTGATGTGACCTGACTAGCACCTACAGCTATTGTGTTAGGTTAGGGAACTGTATCAACCATTTTCAAACTTTGTGCAGTCTGGCTCTGCTACTTACTAGCTCTGTGCCATTGTGCCATGGGCTAGTTAAATCATCTCTTTGTATTTTAATATTTCCATCTATAAAATGAGGGTGAAGGGGGGATGGCCTTAATAGGAGTGCCTACTTTTAGGGTTGTAAGGATTAAATGTAAAAGTGCTAAGAGTAGTGACTGGCATATAATAAATGGATTAATACACAACATGTACAGTTGATACTAATAATAATGTAATACTAGTAGTGGTAATCAAATCACTAGAATCAGTTGGGGAGCTTGTTAAAATATAAATGGCCAGGCCTTATTTATTTATTCCTGTCTACCTAGAGATTTGGTCAGTTAAATACGAATGGAGCCTGGGCAGCCACAGTTTTAACAATTCCCAGGTGATTCTTAAAATCCCCAAAGTTTGAGAACCCTACACTCTATATTAATATTGTCAGTGATTGCATTGGCTTTTACAAATGTAAAAACTTACCAAGTAATAGGTGAATAGATCTTCCTAAAAGATTCGAATAAGTGCAGATAAAGCGAAATGTATGGCCCTAGATCCCAGGCCCCTCAGGAAACGTTATCCACTTATCAGTTAGGAACTTGCCCTTCTAAACGTTGTCACTCCTTTTTGAAGCTATGTAGAAATGAATGTCTTTGTAATAATGGCCAGATTTAAGGGAAAAAGTTTTTTCAGAGTACTTTTATATTCATAATCTTATTTGTTCCCTTCCAAGCCTATGAGGTAAGTAGGGGAGATATCATTCTGTCAATTTACAGATGAGAAACCAAGACCTGCAAGTTATATCCCAGTACATGAGAGAGCCAGTTGAGAACTGAGCCTTCTATTTCTCAGCTTAATGTTCTTT